CCTTCCCTAGCTACCGATGGCACAATAAACATCTGATATTGTCTAATTGTTAAAAACGTAACAGATTATCGCATAAAAAGGGCTGACCCTCTTCGAATACAGATCTCAACTCACTTCTCCGTTAAAAGTAGAAGAAAATTGTATATGTAATAATTATTGCTAAGTTGCAATAAACAAAAAATTTCAAGAACACGTATCCCTTATTTTGATCCATATTTTTAGTATACAAAGCTGCAAAAAAATCGAACTGCATTTAGGGTGAAAAATTGAAAAAAAAGTGCAATTTTTTAATATATTATTTAAATAAATAATTTCTCCCGAAATTGTTGTCACTAACTAAATTCCTGACTAAAAACTACACAATTTAAAAAAAAATTCACCTTCCTACACTCTCTAGTTTCCGAGATATTAAGGAAAATGTGTTTTCAACCCCGAACTTTGAGGGCTATTTTCACCCCCTCAACATGGATGTCCGCAGATATAAAAAAATACGTGTCAAATGATTTTTAAAAAGCTACCAGATATGTCAATTTCAATAAAATCGGCGTGTAACACCTTGGTGATGTCCCTTGTAAGATGTGCTCACACAATAAAATATACGATCGTTCACGAAAGAAAAATTTTACGAAAATTGCACCAAACACAATTTTTTACCGCCCAGACTCAAATCTCACGACAAATTCAAGTTCTATCCCACTTCTGAATTTTTGTAGCACTTCCAACTACTTTAAACATTTATTTAATGGGACAATATTTAAATATTTTATTGAATCTTTTAAAACACGTCTTTTACAATTCAAGGATGGCAAAGGACTGGTAACAAATCAATTGAACATTAACGGCATTCGTACATTTCCAACGATCATTCGTCTCCACTTACAACACCTTCATTCACTCCAATCACACTTCAAGAAATTATAATATACATATAACGGGTCTTACAAATAATATTAAACCAATAAATGCCTACACTACTGAATCCAAAAAATGGCTTAACAGGTACATACCTACAGATTTCCTAGAAAAAGACCCTTCCTTGTGGAAAAATGATATTTCATATCAAAAAGATTTGGAAATTGTAAGAAATTTAAAAGTGGTAAACGACACCGCTGAACGTGGTATTAAACTTATATCTGAATATAATAATCTGTTGACCAAAAATGAAGAAGAAACACAATACATTTTACAAGTAACTGAGAATTAGAAAAGCCCTTATCCTAATGTAAGCAAATCTCTTATCTTTCCACGCCAATAATAGAATATCGTCTGATCGACAGGCAGCAACAGTATTACTTTTTGTTACAGCTGGTTTTTTTATCGTTGCTGGTATATATTTTCTGTTGGTGTTAAGTGTACCAGTTAAATAGCAGCCTTGTTTTAGAAGCGCCTGTGCTAATGAGATCCCTGTAAAGTATCTATCTGTAAAGATATGGTATCCCTTTACTTGAGGATTTGCGGTTACGATCTTGTGATATAATTGTAACACAATCCTTGAACTGATAGGGAGGTCCGGACGGACGAGACATTCTGTACTAACGCTTCCGTAGTAGAGAAGCGTAGCACATACGAGGTGTGACACAAAAGTAACGAGACTAGTCCGATAAATCATTGTATCTTCAAAATCAGTTCTCCGTGACATTATCACCTTGAAAGTAGTCCCCTTCAGCATTCATACACTTTTGCATTCGGTGCTGCCATTGCTGGTAACAGTTCTGGAACGAGGTTTTTGGAAGTCGTTTCAGGAGATTCTTCGTTTCTGCTTGAACCTCTTCAACTGAGGTGAAGTGGATTCCCATTAAGCAAAATTTAACTTTAGGAAATAAAAAAAAGTCGCATGGAGCCAAATCAGGTGAATAAGGAGGATGCCCCATCACAGTAATATTTTTACTAGTCAGAAACTGCTTGGCAGACAGTGCCGTGTGAGCGGGTGCATTGTCCTGGTGCAACAGCGGATCCATCGCTTCACAACTGTGGCCTTTTTTTCCTAATTTCTTCACGAAGTCTTTTTAGTATTTCAATGTAATAGTGTTAGTTAACAATCTGACTACTGGGAAACCACTCAATCATTACAATTTCATTAATGTCGAATTTTGATTTCGACATGCGTGTTTTTTTGGGTTTTGGGGATCCTGGAGACTTCCACTGCATCGACTGGCGCTTACTTTCTGGGTCATAGGTAAAAATCCATGTCTCATCACATGTTACAAAAGAGTTCAACAAATTTTACAAGAAACGTGATGTTTATTCGCTGTTCGGTTTTTACGTTAGACATTTTTCCGGCAAAATGCAGTTGCACGTGTTTACTAAATAACGCAATACTTCCAAATGGTATGACCGATTCAATCGAAATTGGCAATATGGATAGAGGAGGCATGTGGGATGATGCCACAAAAATAATTGCTGCCAATTCCATTGTTTTTTCAAGCTACAGACCTAGTCTCGTTACTTTTGTGTCACACCTTGTATGTATCCTGTATGTGCGTCTGACAACACATAAACACGGATTCCCCATTTGGTGGGCTTTTTAGGATTATATGTAATAAAACTAACTTTGCTCTTAAATTTAACAACAAACTCTTTGATTGATATTTCTCTATCGGGTGTAAAATGCTTTTGGAATATACCATCCATATAATCGATAATTTTGGGGACTCGTCCGGGATCATCTGTGAGTGCAGTGAGTCCTATAATTGATGATAACGGAGAAAAGGTGGTGAGTGCACGTGGCAGAGTATCGCGCAAATATAAAACTGGTGGATCGACGGATGTGATTTGTGAGTGCTAAGACGAAAATTGAGACGAACATTTGGACAAATAATTTAAACGAATAGTGCGACGAACGTTAGACAAAAAAAAAGCAAGATGAACGCCGAGGCGAAAGCCGAGCCGTTTAGACATACATAGAAGTATAAGTGAGAAAAGGACAGGTGATAGTCGGTGTGACCGTTAGGTAAACAAACAAGACGAATTTGTGAGACCGATCGAGAGAGAAGGGCAAATCAGAGAAGCGTGGAACAACTCGGTAAAGAATTAGAAGCTGCACAAGCGGAGCTCAGTCAATTAAAAATACAAAATAAGGCGGCCATAAGTCAAGATGAAGCAGAACAGCTAAGGCGCGAATTGGAGCAAGCACGATGAAAGATAGCAGATCTGCAACAACAACGGCAGTCACCTTCAACCGAAAACAGGCAAGAAGAACGTGCGAGTCAATTCGAACAAGATTATCGACGAGAAAGAGACGAACAACAACGTGAATATACAGACCATCGAATTCAATTTAAAGATCTGGAAGGGATAATCCCGAAATTTTCGGGTCACGACAAAACATATCCGGTGGAAAACTGGATTGAGGCGGTTGAGGAAAACGCAGAGCTTTAAGGATGGACGCCGCTACAGACGCTGGTTTTCGGAAAAAAGTCGTTAGAAGGATCGGCAAAACTATGGTTAGACGCGCAATCTACGTTCCGACTATGGAGTGACCTGAAAACATGTTTCGCAGACGAATTCGAAATGAAGATAAACAGCAGAGAAATTCACCAAATGCTGATGAAGAGGAAGAAGAAGGAGGGGGAAGCCTTCAAGGAACATCTGCTGCAGATGCGAAAGATTGCAAGTCGGATTAACCTGGAGCCAGCGGCAATTATATAATATGTCATAGACGGTATCCAAGACTTGGAAACAAACAAGGTAATCTTATATGGCGCAACTAGTTTTTCTGAATTTAAAGAAAAATTAAAACAGTACGAGGTACTAAAGAATAAAATTAATGCCAGTAAGCAATCGTCTGGATTAAATTCCGTTAAGTCTGTAGGAAAGGAAGAAGCGACAAGTGACGGCAAAAGTCTGGCAAGCAATTCCCCTTGTTACAATTGTAGGGGCAGAAGTCACCTCAGTAGGAATTGTAAGCATCGTGGAGACGGTCTGAAATGTTTCAAGTGTGCAAAAAATTCGGGCACATCGCGCCGCAATGCCCGGACATAGAGAATTCACTCAATTCGGAAACGGTTTCAAGATGCGCATCAAATTCTTGGGACCATATCGTATCAACCGAATAATGGCAAAGGATCGGTACGAGGTCGAGAATGTAGGAGGCGAAGGTCCGTTAACTACATCTTGCTCAGTCGATCACATGAAACCCTGGAGGGGCTTCACCCAGAACCAAGAACAAGTAGAAGTAGAATCGTCTGAGACAGACGAATAATTCAGGATGGCCGAGTTGTGGGAGTAATAATTATGTGTCTGGGTTATGAGAGATAGGAAGAGTGAGAGAGAGTGAGACAGGAAGTATGAGAGAGAGTGAGAGAGAGCATAGAGGTCACGCAATAATAATCGGTTACGATTACGTGCGTTCGTTACGAATAGAGTCTTGCTCGAGCTGGTTTAAGAGAAGCAGTGTGACGAATAGATTGTACTAAGAGAGACATTGTGACGAATAATAAATTGTACCACTCCGTATCATTATATTCGGATCGCTACTCACCCTACGATCCCACATATTTGGGGATATTTGAAACATTTTCATTCAAATGTATCATCCAAAATATTTGGAAAAATCTTTCCCTTCGAAATATATTTATAAAAAATGGAATGTATGCAACATGATCCTTTGTGCAATAATATTTCATATCAGGAATCGGTGTAGTACCCATGTTAAAGATTACTCCCAAAAAAGCTGTTAATTCTTCTTTCGTCACATCTATCCAGTTGTTCCATGTTGATCGATCAAATAAGCTCTTCTGTTCTATTTTATTTTTGGCATATTTATTTGTCTCTAGAACAATTTTTTCAAGCAGTATATTTGTGAAAAAGAGTCTGAAAAAGTCAATAGGTTCTGTGCAATGAAGAGGTACATTAGATCCAACAATCTTAGATCCCGTTGAAAATTTTATCTTTGATTGTGGCTGATCTCTGTGCGTAACGTCTCTCCAAGTAGTAAATTCGTTTATATTACTGTTCTTATTTTTTTTATTGCCTTCAACTTCACTGTCGCTGGATATTACCAATTGCCTCACTCGTCGCGTCACTGGAACTGTCACTACCAGAATCAGTACAAACGTTATCACTATCTATATCACTGTCAGTATTCAAGGTGTCAAAATAAAACTGTTCACATCTATTTTCAGTTTCACAGTAAACTTCTGTCGGTAACTTTCTTTTGGCCATGGTGGAATATTATTTTTAAATATTTTAAGAAGCAGGAATACCTAATTACAGTTAAATACAACTTGTGAAATATTATTTGGAGTTTTGTAAAGTACCTTCGAACAGTGTCGATTTATTTATGCTTATGTAACGTTCCCAGCAACATTATTTTATTACGCTTTATTTAGTAGCAAATATAATAATTAATCACAAACAGTACATAGAATAATAGCTAAAAATATAACGCAATTTATAATGGGTGAATAATTAATAATATATAAAATATAAATATTTAAATGATAATTCATATTAACTTTGTTTCAAAGTATATCTACTGTCTCTTTCTAACTAACGCGCGCGCCATCGATCGGTGATCTACTCTAAACAATGTTGCACGCGTGAGCTACCCCATCCCATTACCACGCGAATTTTTATGGTGCAGTCGGTAATTTGCGGTCGGCAATAGAATAGAAAAAGATATACGGATTAAGATGCTTCTTTATTTATCGGCAGGATTCGTTGATGTTCCCGAGGACGTTACACTCAAGAGGCAACTGACTCGCCTCGGCGAGCTTTTGTTTGCACCGGATTTCGTTATCTGCAATTGATAAGAGCACCGCATGAGTTCGTGCAAATAAATTGTAAATTGATACATGGATGAATACAGTACAAGATTAGTACGGTTTCTTAATGTGGTGGCTGAGAGCAGACATACGACCGGAACGGTAAAAAGGCTTTAATGGCTGAGAGTAGACATACGACCGCAAAGGGTTAAAGGCGCGATGCGAAGGCTACAAAGGTCAGATCTATTCTAAAGAATTTTCCAACGGCTCTTCGCACGAAGGAAAAAATGCATATGACCCTAAGAGGCAAAACAAGAGCATACGCGCAAAACGCTCGAACAAGCTTGGGTCTTCAGAGGACCTTCAAAATTTTTTAAACGATTTATGGCTTAACCGCCACAAAACTATGACTTACTTCTACAAAAAATGCAAATTCGTTTAATTGAATCCAGCTTGAAAACGAACCGGAAAACGAACTACGGTTTGGATTATCGTCGCGTCGCGATACATTTTGTTCGGTGCGAATTTGAATATGTAATTCTATGCCTTCTTCATTATTGTCGGATTCCGATTCTAATTCGCTGGGTATTAAAAACGCAGGTTTTAATCTATCTATGGAAACATTTTTATCATTGATACGAATAGTGAAATTTTTCTCTCCACGCTCAACTACTCCATATGGATTGTCATATGATGGTTGCAATGAATTTCTAACCGCATCATGTTGCAGGAAAACATAAGGTGATTTTGCCAATTCTTTAAATTCAAATGTCGTTTTCTGACTATGACATGAAGCTGGGCGGGGTTTGATATTTTCTACACGTTGTTTTAAACGCTTAATAAAACTAGAATTCGTCTCCTGATTTGATGGTAAGAAAAATTCTGCTGGCAAGCGAATTCCAGCTCCGTACAACAATTCCGCCGCTGTTGCCTTCAAATCTTCTTTAACCGTAGCGCGTATGCCTAATACGATTAAGATGCTTCTTTATTTATCGGCAGGATTCGTTGATGTTCCCGAGGACGTTACACTCAAGAGGCAACTGACTCGCCTCGGCGAGCTTTTGTTTGCACCGGATTTCGTTATCTGCAATTGATAAGAGCACCGCATGAGTTCGTGCAAATAAATTGTAAATTGATACATGGATGAATACAGTACAAGATTAGTACGGTTTCTTAATGTGGTGGCTGAGAGCAGACATACGACCGGAACGGTAAAAAGGCTTTAATGGCTGAGAGTAGACATACGACCGCAAAGGGTTAAAGGCGCGATGCGAAGGCTACAAAGGTCAGATCTATTCTAAAGAATTTTCCAACGGCTCTTCGCACGAAGGAAAAAATGCATATGACCCTAAGAGGCAAAACAAGAGCATACGCGCAAAACGCTCGAACAAGCTTGGGTCTTCAGAGGACCTTCAAAATTTTTTAAACGATTTATGGCTTAACCGCCACAAAACTATGACTTACTTCTACAAAAAATGCAAATTCGTTTAATTGAATCCAGCTTGAAAACGAACCGGAAAACGAACTACGGTTTGGATTATCGTCGCGTCGCGATACATTTTGTTCGGTGCGAATTTGAATATGTAATTCTATGCCTTCTTCATTATTGTCGGATTCCGATTCTAATTCGCTGGGTATTAAAAACGCAGGTTTTAATCTATCTATGGAAACATTTTTATCATTGATACGAATAGTGAAATTTTTCTCTCCACGCTCAACTACTCCATATGGATTGTCATATGATGGTTGCAATGAATTTCTAACCGCATCATGTTGCAGGAAAACATAAGGTGATTTTGCCAATTCTTTAAATTCAAATGTCGTTTTCTGACTATGACATGAAGCTGGGCGGGGTTTGATATTTTCTACACGTTGTTTTAAACGCTTAATAAAACTAGAATTCGTCTCCTGATTTGATGGTAAGAAAAATTCTGCTGGCAAGCGAATTCCAGCTCCGTACAACAATTCCGCCGCTGTTGCCTTCAAATCTTCTTTAACCGTAGCGCGTATGCCTAATACATATGTAACGACTCTGGAACCTAGGTTCAGACAGTTACTAGCGCTAGGAAGGTAAAGAGCGGTTTTTACCAACTGAACGACTCGTTTTAGAAAATAACTAAATGTAAAGATTGTGGGATTCGTATGGTGTGCGGTTAAGGAGTGAAATCCACAGGTCAATATCTTTCAACAATAAGGTTTATTCAATAAAATAACGAAGATGATGAATTTAACAAATAACAAGTAACAAATAACAATAAAATATGAAAAGTATACTGATTTGATCAAAAGAAACTAAATAGATTTTGATATAATATTAATAATAGAAATAATAGAACTTGGCAAATTAAACAATACGTAATAGGTAATTGTGAATCTAACTAAATCTGATTCTCGCTAGTTAATACTTTATATTATTTCGTACCTAAGTCTGATTTCGGATGAAGCTAACTTCGCTTTTATATAATTAACTGAATTCGATATTCTATAAGATTTGATTCTTGGTTTCGAACGCTATCGCAATGACAAAGTTTATCTTGATTAGTACGTTTGTAGTATATATAATGAATTATTCTTTTATGAAATTAATAATATTAGCGCATTATAGTCTACCGCAGCGAGGAACACGACCTAAGTGTGATTCTCTAAGTGTACCTAAATACGCTTTCGCAAAGTTAGACAGATTAACGATTTTATCTGATATCTAACGCGGTGTAGTCGACTACGGAAATTACGCTAATGACAGAACAATATTCTTTTACTAATTCAAGTTCAAAGTTTGTTTGAATCTAAATGAATTATTTCCTCGGAACAGTTACTCTTTTAATCTGACTCGACAACTAATTGTCCATGACCCTTTTTGTCAAAACGAACACTGACAGCCAAAACCAGATCGCTTAATTGGGGAGCCTGCGTTAGCTAGCTACGAAACTACCCAGAGCGAACTCCGAGAATCTGATGGCGCGTTAGCAATCCGACGAAAAATTAAATTTGAGTAGCTGAGAGCTATCGTTTCGATATCTTGGCGCTAAGTATAGCACTCTCCTAAAGGAGTTTCAGATACGAGACCGTTTGAATGGGGAGCCTGCGTTAGCTAGCTACGAAACTACCCAGAGCGAACTCCGAGAATCTGATGGCGCGTTAGCAATCCGACGAAAAATTAAATTTGAGTAGCTGAGAGCTATCGTTTCGATATCTTGGCGCTAAGTATAGCACTCTCCTAAAGGAGTTTCAGATACGAGACCGTTTGAATGGGGAGCCTGCGTTAGCTAGCTACGAAACTACCCAGAGCGAACTCCGAGAATCTGATGGCGCGTTAGCAATCCGACGAAAAATTAAATTTGAGTAGCTGAGAGCTATCGTTTCGATATCTTGGCGCTAAGTATAGCACTCTCCTAAAGGAGTTTCAGATACGAGACCGTTTGAATGGGGAGCCTGCGTTAGCTAGCTACGAAACTACCCAGAGCGAACTCCGAGAATCTGATGGCGCGTTAGCAATCCGACGAAAAATTAAATTTGAGTAGCTGAGAGCTATCGTTTCGATATCTTGGCGCTAAGTATAGCACTCTCCTAAAGGAGTTTCAGATACGAGACCGTTTGAATGGGGAGCCTGCGTTAGCTAGCTACGAAACTACCCAGAGCGAACTCCGAGAATCTGATGGCGCGTTAGCAATCCGACGAAAAATTAAATTTGAGTAGCTGAGAGCTATCGTTTCGATATCTTGGCGCTAAGTATAGCACTCTCCTAAAGGAGTTTCAGATACGAGACCGTTTGAATGGGGAGACACATAACAACCGATTTGAAATTGAGACAGGTTCGTTTAAAGTTACTCCTCCCACTCAAACCATCAATGACAAAGAACAGCAGTGCATTCCTCGTATTTATGAACTCACTTTACTCGCGTAGTGAGTGTACACTGCTAGTATAAATAAAAATGACAGATGTGAATGTTTGGCTGTAATGCCCTTTAAGGTTTATATTGCTTATAAGTGTGTAACGACTCTGGAACCTAGGTTCAGATAGTTACAAGCGCTAGGAAGGTAAAGAGCGGCTTTTACCCACTAAACGACTCGTTTTCGCAAATAACTAATCTAAAGAATGTGGGATCCGTGTGGTGTGAGGTTAAGGAGTGAAATCCACAGGTCAATATCTTTCAACAATAAGGTTTATTCAATAAAACGATAAGAAATGAAACTAACAAATAACAATAACAACAAAATAAAGAAAGGTATATAGATTATAAATGATTAATTAGAATAAAGAATTAAATAGCTTGTAACGAAGCCGTTTCGTGCCTGCCGCGTTACTAGGCAACGCGGCGGCGTACGCGGCTCACGGGCCTCTGGTGCCGGATGTTTCAGCGCGCCAGGGTCGACGCGAGGGGGCCGATCGCGGAAGGAAGGGGACTTGTCGCGGGTAAAAGAGAACACTAGGTGTAACCTTAACTATAGTTTATTATTATTATTGTAACGTCCCCGGGTACATTATATTGAATCCAGTCGATAAATAAAGAAACATGCTAATGCGTATATCTTTTTCTATTCTATTGCCGACCGCAAATTACCGACTGCACCATAAAAATTCGCGTGGTAATGGGATGGGGTAGCTCACACGTGCAACATTGTTTAGAGTAGATCACCGATCGATGGCGCGCGTGTTAGTTAGAAAGAGACAGAGGATATACTTCGAAACAAAGTAATTATAAACTAGGAGTACTGCTCACAGTGGAGTTTGAGCGAGGCGAAGCGTAACTCACGCTGACCGAATAAATATTTTTGTAAACTTACTCCCGGTTTATCAATAAAATATTCATTTTTTAAACAATCAGTGAGGGCGCTGCTGACAGCAAGACTTTAATGATAAATTAAATTCAATCAAAGCCGACATACAGTCGCTTCGATTCATCAGTCTAATTAAGACAACCAATATTGAATTTACTTATCTAGATAAATTTTTCTATTAACTAACCATTTTTTATTATCCCCTTTGTTCTTCCTCGGAGCTCCATTTTGATTTGATAAACTCAATTCTCTCTTTAAATCCTCTTTGCCTTCCTATCAAATCAAGACGCTTCCAAGATGGATATGAGAGTAGTTCAATGTCTTCGAGCCTTTTTGCTCTTGAAAATGCAACATATGTCTTGTTCTCCTCAGATGTGGCATACTTAGGCTTGCTTTTATGCAATGGTTTTTGGCTAAAAGAGAGTTTTAAGAAAGAATACTTTTATAATAAATAATCATGTGAAGAAAAAATATTAGCTCCTTTTCTTCCATTGTATACATATATATGTACCTGAGTATGTCCTCCAAGAGAGCTAACCCAATTAAAAAGTTGTTTGAAACCAGACTCCTAAGTCGTTTCTAAATTTTCGGAAAAGTATCTCGAATATTGTCTTCAGAACCTATGCTAGGCCAAAAAGATTGACGCGCCACTTCCTTAATTCCTCTGGTGAAAAAGCCGGGATACTAAAAATATTCGCCTAACTAATTAAACTGGTCCTTTCGACCTTCTCAGGACCTCAAATAGTCTAATGAGACGTTCACCAAGGAGAAAAGACCAGATTTCTGCTATTTCTAGTGAAAGGACCTCGTTCTGGGCTAAAATTAAGTCTAACTCCTATAATTTTTATCCAATTTTGTTCAGTATTGAACTTAAAGTTGTTTTTATTTAGATCTTGAAATGT